CCAACATCCATCCATCCATCTATCGTCTATCTATCTTATCTTTCTATCTTTCATATGTATCTTTTCTATCTCATAGAATCCTAAAATCCTAGGACCGTTGCTCAAGGCAGCAGACCTTATACAATCCCAGACACATATGAAAGATAGACAGATAAAATGGAGATGGATGGATGGATGGATGGATGGATGAACGGATGATAGACAGACAGGCAGGCAGGCAGGCAGACAGGCAGACAGACAGACAGATGGAATGGTTTGCCTACTGCAATTGTGGGCGCTCCATCACTGGATGGAGAAAAATCCAGACGCTTGGAAACTGGCATGTACTTATGATGGTTTTAGGGTCCCGGGGAGGGGGGGGGTCACGTGATCCCCTTCTGCGACCTTCTGACAAGCAAAGTCAATGGGGAAGCCAGATTCACTTAACCACCATGTTCCTAATTTAATAACTGCAGTGATTCGCTTAACGGCTGTGGCAAAGATGGTCGTAAAATGGGGCAAAACGGCAAGTGTCTCTCCGAGCCACAGAAACGACGGGGACAACTGTGGCCGTAAGTGGAGGACTCTCTGTACTCCTTGCCCGGCAGACGTTCCCCTCTCCTCTGCCCATCGAAGTAAACCAAAGACCGGCACCCTTTTCGAATCTTGACCAGCCTGATTTCTCTTCCACAGAGACACGGAGCCGATGTGAGGAAATGGCAGACAAAAGCCGAGGTCCGTTTGGGAGATTTTACTACTCAAATCCGTTTTACACGGTCAAAGTAAGTAACACAGTCAGCCCCGGCTACGTCATCCCCGTTGCTCCAAAGAGGAAAAGCGATTTCACTTTGAATCTGTGAGTTTGAGCTGTCATCCCTTGCTTTGCCCGCTGTACGTGTGCAGTGGAAAAAAAAGTGAATTATGTGGCCCTTTTTCACACTTACAATTGTTATGTGCTCCTGGCTACTTTCCTTGGTGGCCAGAGGCAAGCGCGCCTGACCAATAACCAGCCGAGACACAGTCAAGGCCTTTTGTGTCGTTCATTGCAATAAGCAGGGAGAGAAGCTATCAAAGCTTGGATTCTCTCCAACGTTCCAACTCAAAATATTCCCCTTATTTTTACTACCCTGTCCTGGCTGCCATATCCCTCCTCCTTCCCCATTGGCTGAGATACTATGAGGTTACACTCTCTCCGACCCCTCCTACATATTTCCTGCTGCATACTACATCATACATCACAGGTACATTAAAATTAAGAGATAATTTAATAATAATAATAATAATAATAATAATAGTAGTAGTAGTAGTAGTAGTAGTAGTAGTAGTAGTAGTAGTAATAATAATAATAATAATAATAATAATAATAATAATAATAATAATAATAATAATAATAATAATAATAATAATAATAAAAAAGTTGGAAGGGGCCTTGGAGGTCATCTAGTCCAACCCCCTACTCAGGCAGGAAACCCTATACCACTCCAGACAAATGGCTGCCCAGTCTCTTAGAATAGAATAGAGTTGGAAGGGACCTTGGAAGTCATCTAGTCCAACCCCCTGCTCAGGCAGGAAACCCTATACCATTCCGGACAAATGGCTGTCCAGTCTCTTAGAATAGAATAGAGTTGGAAGGGACCTTGGAAGTCATCTAGTGTTGGAGCATTCACCGCTTCTGGAGGCAGGTGGTTCCACCGGTTAATTGTTCTAACTTTTCTCGAAGTCTTTTCAAGTTTGGCTTTTCCTGGGCGGATTTTCGCCTTCCGATGCTAAAATGCTCGGGGTTAAACACACAAGGATTGTCAACGATGGGTTGGAAATAAGAAGGTTTTCCTGGAGTGCTTTACTATGTGGTTTTTCTGGAAAAAAAACTGGTGAAAACTCAGAGATGGGTTTAACTTCCTTGAGTTTTTTGGGGGGGAAGACATTTTGAGAGGCCGTTATTTGACCTGCGAGAAGCGTTGTGAAGAAATTGTCCTTGAGTAGAGGCAGAAAGAACATATTTCTGCTATTGCTGCCACTGCCTCTGATCCTAACTGTGATGGAGGAGTGTTATTTGATCTATAGATCATCTGTAGATTTATCCATCCATCCATCCCTCTTACTTATATACAGCCACCATCAAAGCCTTCTGCTCTGCAGCCCTTAAATTGTCACACAATGCGGCTAAAGCTGAGTAAAAATTACAGCGAAAATCAAAGCATCCGCAGCTATCATCTTAATCGTGAAATGGCCCCCAGCCACGTACAGTGGCTTCAGTTTTCAAAGGCATTGCAGAATAACTTCATAGGAGAGAATATTTGTAGTTCAGGGTGGAACATGGGATGTGTGTGTGTGTCCTTGGTGCTCTCTGAGCTGGGTGGTTTTCTTGCGGATGTTTCATGACCCAACTAGGGAACATCATCAGTGCTAGAAGGGGGTGGGGTTTGTGGAGAGGAGCAGGAGGAGGAGGGTGGTTAGGAGAAGGAGGAGGAGGAGGAGGAGGAGGAGGAGGAGGAGGAGGAGGAGGAGGAGAAGAAGAAGAAGAAGAAGAAGAAGAAGAAGAAGAAGAAGAAGAAGAAGAAGAAGAAGAAGAAGAAGAAGAAGAAGAAGAAGAAGAAGAGAAGGAGAAGAGGAAGAAGGAGAAGGAGAAGGAGAAGGAGAAGGAGAAGGAGAAGGAGGAGAAGGAGAGGAGGAGGAGAACAACTGTGGGGTCCTTGGTGTTCTCTGAGCTTCATTTTTCTTGCAGACGTTTCATTACCCAACTAGGTAACATCATCAGTGCTAGAAGGGAGTGGAGTTTGTGGAGAGGAGGAGGAGGAGGAGGAGGAGGGGGAGGAGGAGGAGGAGGACTGTGGGGTCCTTGGTGTTCTCTGAGCTTGGTTGTTTTTCTTGAGGACATTTCATTACCCAACTAGGTAACATCATCAGTGCTAGAAGGGAGGGGGTTTGTTGAGAAGAGGAGGAGGAGGAGGAGGAGGAGGAAGCGGAGGAGGAGGAGGAGAAGGAGGAGGAGGACTGTGGGGTCTTTGGTATTCTCTGAGGTTGGCTGTTTTTCTTGAGGACATTTCATTACCCAACTAGGTAACATCATCAATGCTAGAAGGGAGGGGGGTTTGTGGAGAGGAGGACTGTGGGGTCTTTGGTGCTCTCTGAGCTTGGTGGTTTTTTGAAGACTAGATAACATCACCAGTGCTACCTAGTACTGCTCCATCCCTGCTACAAAACTGATGATATTTCCTAGCTTGGTAATGAAATGTCCGCAAGAAAACCACCAAGCTCAGAGAGCACCAAGGACCTCCCCTTGGTCTCCGAGTTACCAGATCTCAAAGAGGCCTAATGCCAAAACAGCATCCATCTCCATCTTCTCGCTCTGGTACTGGACCCCCAGCGGTGGGATTCAAATACCTGAAAAACCAGTTCTCTTATTGGATGCAGGCTTGGGCCTCCAAGGCCTAGAACGGACTTCCGGAAGTGGCATCCATGCACTTCCGGTGGGCCGTTCTAGGCCTGGGAGGCCTCCTCCAGGCCTCCAAGGCCTAGAACGGGCTTCCAGAAGTGGCATCCACGCAGTATGCATTCAGCCAGTTCCCCGAACTCAGCAAAATTTAGCTCCTGGTTCTGTTTGTTTGACAGGATTAAAACCCAAGGAAGTCAGTATTTTAGACCCATTGCTAGCCTTTGCGAAACAAGCTAAACCAATCTAATAACAAAAGCACACAAAGCAAGCTTCCAAATTACGAAATGCTGTAAAACGGTATAAAAATCCTTGTACTCATCAAATCAATTTGTCAGCTGTCCCAGAACTACATGCTGTTGTTGGCTCTGCTCATCATTAAACCTTCTTTCTTAAGCAGTCTCCATTTTATTCCCGGCTTGGAACTGGACCTGGTTTTTCTTTCAACACTGATCACAAGTCACTTTTTTCAGTGCCGTTATATAACTTCGGACGGTTACTGAAGGAGTGGTTGTAAGTCAAGGACTCCTTGTTTTGACAATGAATCTGTTTTATTGGAGGGTCCAAGAACAGGTGGGCTCAGATGTGGTTCTGACCTTTCATCATTTCTTCCCTGCAGTTCTTCGTTTTCTGCCACGGGTTCCTGCAGCTCTCCCAGCTGATGACATCCGGCTACATGAAAAGTTCAATTTCCACCATCGAGAGGCGTTTCGGTCTGTCCAGCCAGACGTCTGGCATGGTGGCCTCCTTCCACGAGGTACCCTCCTCGGCCCCGGCAACTCTTTACTCTTGTTTGCCGTTACTCTACTGCACGACCCCTGCAACATGGCTAGCGTTGCTACTTGTAAACTGCTATCCGTACTATTTTGGCTACTGTTAATCTATATAAACATTAACCTTTAAATCTTAGATTCTATACTGTCAACAGTATAGAGAATATTTGTAGGTCAGAGACAAACTGTGGGGTCCCTGGTGGTCTCTGAGCTTGGTAGTTTTCTTGCAGACGTTTCATTATCCCGCTAGGGAACATCATCAGTGCTAGAAGGGAGTGGTGTTCATGGAGAGGAGGAGGAGGAGGAGGACTGTGGGTTCTTTGGCCACTACTCTACTGCATGTCCATACAATATTACTATCTCTGAGCTTGGGGGTTTTCTTGCAGATGTGTCATGACCATCATCAGTGGGAACATCATCAGTGTTAGAAGGAGGTGGGGTTGTGGAGAGGAGAGCTGGAGGAGAAGCAGGAGCAGGAGGAGGACTGTGGGGTCCTTGGTGCTCTCTGAGCTTGGTGGTTTTCTCGCAAACATTTTATGACCCAACTAGGGAATATCATCAGTGGTAGAAGGGAGGAGGAGGAGGAGGAGGTGGTGGTGGTGGTGGTGGTGGAGGAGGAGGAGGAGGAGGAGGAGAGTACTCTGGCTCCTTGGTGCCCTCTGAGCTTGCTGGTTTTCTTGCAAACATTTTATGACCCAACTAACACCATCAATGCTAGAAGGGGATGGAGTTTGTGGAGGAGGAGGAGGAGGAGGAGGAGGAGGAGGAGGAGGAGGAGGACTGGTGGTAGAGAAGGAGGAGAACTCTGGGGTCCTTGGTGCTCTCTGAGTTTGCTTTTTTTCTTGCAGATGTTTCATGACCCAACTAGGTAACACCATCAGTGCTAGTAGGGAATGGGGTTTGTAGAATAGGAGGAGGAGGAGGAGGACGATGACTGTGAGCTCCTTGGTGCTCTCTGAGCTTGCTGGTTTTCTTGCAAACATTTTATGACCCAACTAGATAACACCATCAATGCTAGAAGGGAGGAGGAGGAGGAGGAGGAGGAGGAGGGATCTAAAAGCCAGGGGGCTGCACTCACAGTGCCAAGGATCCTGTCCATTTCCTCGGGACCAAAAGGATCAAACTCTTCCCAGATAACATCATAGGGGTGTGCCTCAGCCAATTCTGTAGGAGTGAATTGAAGATGTGGAGAATAATCTTAACAGTGACCCTGCAGATATTCCCTTTGCCTTTTTTAATATAACTTTCACTGTAATAAAAAACGATTTATCACTGCTTTCCAGATTTTCAATAAAGTAGTTTCGGTTTTTTTTAATGAAAGGATTCCCAGTTCTATTTTTTTTTTCATAATAAGAAATTATTTTTTCCACAGTATTTATGGATTGATCTATTGTCCTCCCAAGAGTATACTGGAACACGATGTACACCTTTTTGTGAATCTAATTCTATAAAGAGCTACTAATTAAAATAATATCGAAGAAGAGTAATTGGATCCTGAGTGAAAAAAAAACTTTTTCTAAGGAGTGATAACCACGCCCATCATTTCTTTTTCGTACAAACTATTAATGGATTGATTACTTATTAAATTTATATGCTGCCCATCTCACCATCAAGGGATTGATGTTGGATTCACGATTTCATGATGTGATTTTTTTTACGATTTAACGATTTGGTGATTTTGATAATTTGAGGTTTTGATGATTCGGACGATTTAATGAGTTTGATTTTTTTTACCCTTGGACTATTTTTATGCTTTGATGATTTTGACAATTGAATGAGTTTGATGATTTGATGATTGCTACAATTTGTTTATTTTTACGATTTGATGAGTTTGATGATTGAATGAGTTTTATGATTTGATGATTGCTACAATTTATTTATTTTTATGATCTGACGATTGAACGAGTTTGACGATTTGATGATTTTTACGATTTTTACATCTGGATGATCTTTACCGTTGGGCGATTTTGACGATGTTCACAATTTGGCGATGTAATGAGTTTGACGATTTAACGATTTATTAATTTTATTTATTTTTTTTCAAAAATGTGACCGCCATTGTAGTTTGATCTGACTGGCTGGCTTTCATAAAGATGTAGCTTCTTCAGCCTCTGTAAGGACCTGCCCACCTTTTCTTTCGTCCCATCAGATTGGAAACACGATGCTGATCGTCTTTGTGAGTTATTTCGGCAGCCGACTGCACAGGCCCCGGGTCATTGGCTGCGGTGCCATCCTCGTTTCCGTGGCCGGTTTTGTCATTTCTCTCCCACACTTCGTCTCGCCCCCTTACGAATACGATCAGTCCGTTTCTGGTAAGGACCTTCTAGAAATGTCTACGGAGATTCTCTGTCATTCAGGTCGGAGTTCCCCAACCTTTTGGGGGGCTGGCGGCCCAGACCGGGGGAGAGGGGGAACAAAGGGATGGTTTTGTGTGTGTGTGGGGGTGAATGCATGCACGTGCTGTTCTGTCCCACCCTACTTGAGCTCCTTGTTAAATTCACAAGGAGAAAATCCCTCTTCAAATCAAGCAGGTAGAAATCGCAGGATAAACCCAAACCCCGTTGATTTACTCATAGACTTGAGGAAAAACAAACACAGTTCATCGCAACTCAATCCTCAACCCGAACGGCAGCCTTCGGCAACCAGCAACTCCCACAGCTCCCCTTTTATTATGCATCCAAGGCCTGGCTTTCCTAATGCCTGCTCCTTTGCCTCTGAAGCCGCCCCATTGCATGCCTCTGTCCAGCTCTCTTTGCCTGCCGGCGCTTTCATGCATCTGGGATTTGTCCCAGCTGTTCTTCATCACTGTCCAACGCAGGCTCCCAGCACAGCTGTGTCTCAGCCTGAGCGTGAGTACAGGGGCCGGGCGACGCTCACGTCAGTGGGGCCACGGACACCCACCATCCTTGTAGCAACACTCGTGTAAATGGGGCCACAAACGCCCACATGCTTGTATAAATGGGGCCCTAAATGCCTGCAACGCTTGTGGCAATGCTTGCACAAGAGCATCTGAGATCCTCATGGCAATGCTTGTGCAAGTGGGGTCACGAACACCTGCAATGCTTGTGGTGATGCTCGTGTGAGTGGACACCTGCAAGAGTGGGACTGTGTGCATGCACGCACATGCGCACACTGGCCAGCCACTCACGCAGCCCAGTGGCCAATAGTCCATGGCCCGATAATGGGCTGCAGCCCACGTTGGGGACCCCTGATCCAGGTCATGGTTGTCCCAAAGGCACTTTTCCAAGGAGCAACTGGGCTTTCTTTGTTTTTCCTTGACAACATCTCGCTTCTTGTCCCAGAAGCTTTTTCGGTTCTGACTGAATGGCGGATGATGGAAGGATTTATATTTCTTGCAGTCATCTGGGCATTAGTGCTCTTTCTGAGAATCTTTGAGGCCTCTTGGAGGTTTATCTGTGCCCTGAATAGTGCAAACAGTTGTGGGGCCTTCTTGGAACTGCTGAAAGGACCGTGTTGTAGACTGGAGATAGAGGATGCTGTCTCCCTCCCCCTCTGTTGAAGGAGGGCTGTTCAATCTTAGTGTAGATGGCCTCTTTGATCCCTCCTTCACACCAGTGGCCCTCTCTGTCCAGTATGTGGACTTTGCTGTCTTCAAAAGCATTGTTCTGTCCCAGCCTACGTACATCCTTATTATTTCACAAAAACAACCCCTCTTTTAACAGTGAACTGGAAAATAAACCCTTTTTATTTGAGTTACAAACCTTATAATTGTTCCAGAAAACCAAAGCAACAGAACACTTTTCCAACACTTGTCCAAAAGCAAAATGGAGTACGAGTCAAACAGGCAAAATAGACAGACCATGATCTCTTGACACTGAAGTTCTTTGCAAACGGCTGCCTCCAGCAACCAGCCCTGTCCACACATTCCCTTTTTGTTACACAGGCCCCAAGGCGTGGCTTCTCACTGCTTTCTCCTCCTTCCCTGGAGTCGTCCCATTGCCTCCCTCTGTCCTACTCGTGTGACCTGTCTACATTTACGAGCGTCTCTGAGGTCTTCCAGCTCTGCTTCCTCTGAGTCCGACTCAGCTTCCCAGCACAGCTGGCTCTCAGCTGGATCACGAGTGGAAGGACCAGCCTCTTCATTAGTTTGTAAGTCCTGCAGCTCATCAGAGCCTCCCTCCAACTCTGATGGCTCTCCAGGCTCCTCCTCCTCTGATTCCCTAGACTCAACTATTGGGATCACAGTCTGGCATGGAATCGCAACAGGCATAACCTTTGTCTTTCAAATGCAGACGGACTGCGGAATCTCATCCTGATAGGTTTGTTCTCCTACATTGCGCCCTGCATTTGTGAAGTGGTTGTTTTGTTTCCCCAATGCACGGAGCCGTACATATCTCACTGCACTGTACTGCGTATATCACATCGCTCAGTTTGTGTCCGGGCATTTTATCCCAGTTCCGGATGGCGGTCGTGTAGAGAGAGTCGTCTCTTCACTGGCCAGTTTCCCTTCACCGGTGGACTCTTAACAGGGTCGAAAGTCACCCTGGAGGGGCAACTACCAATGAGGAGGACTGTTGTCGACCACGGAAGGAGCTATTTAACATGGCCGATCACTTAGCCGCACCAGCCGAAAGTCAGAAGAACATCTAAGCATAAAGAACCACCGTGGAAGATCCGGGTGAGACCTTACCTTCCCTCTCTTTACCCTAACTATCTCCCTGTGAAAAGCTTCTGGAATTATTTCCCTGCTTTGAGAGAGCGGCGTCTGTTTACTGACAAGCTCCTGTCTTAATGCATTCTTGGGTTTAAAGTATGCATGTATGTTGTGTGGGTTGAAGATCCTCCTGAGTTTTTCAGATATTCCTGCAATCCTCAGGAAGAGCGCTAACAACCAAGTGACTGCAAGGGATATAAATCCTTCCCTCCTCCACCATTCAGTCAGAACTGAAGAAGCTTCTTGGATGAGAAGTGAAACATGTTCAAGGAAAAACAAAGTCCGGTTGCCTTTTGGGAAAAGCACCTTTGGGATGGCTTTCCATAAACATTCTTCACCGGGTCTGCTTTTTCAGATTTTAAATTTGAAACGATGGGAGAAACCATTGACCCTAGCTCTCCAACATGATAAATGACTAAGCCAGTAACCTCTTTATCTTCCTGTAAAGCTGCATTCTATAATTATGTCTCTGATTTATTATATTCCTTATATAACAGAAGAAATTATGTAAGAAATATTATAATTTTATTTATTGATTAGACTCCTAATTCTTTGCCTTTCTTTCTGGCAAGCCACTCAAGAACTATTGGAAACGGACTGGCCTAAAAATAAAAATAGGAAACAAATCAATTAAAAACAAACATTTCTAAGCTTTTGTATTCGGGGGTGAAAAAAAGTATGGTTTAGGGCAGTGGTGGTGAACCTATGGCACGGGTGCCAGAGGCGGCACTCAGAGCCCTCTCTATGGGCACGCGCGCGATGTCCCGGAGATGGCAACCATCCCTCTTCAAGCAGCCACCCGTTAACTCGCTGAGGTCCCACATGGCCGGATGCATCCCAGCACCGCTGGTTTCCCTCCCCCCCGTCCCATCCCTCCTGGCCTCGCATACTCTCCTTTTCCCAGGCATGACCCCTGCATCGCCTCCTCAGCTGTCGGCCGGCTGTTGAGCTCAGAGGCTGCTTCTCTGAACTGCTGGCAGCAGGCTGCGGAGCCCCAGAGTGCGCCGGTCAAGGGGCTAGCAGGCTGTGGCTGCTGACGGAGACCGTCGGCCCCCATGCGCTCGCTGGCCTCTGTGTGCGGGGGCTGATGGTGTCAGGCAGCAGCCGCTCTGGCCCCTGCATTGCCTTGCCCTGTGACAATGGCACCCCCGCCCTGCCTCGCCTTGCCTCGCCTCACCCCTCAGGACGAGCCTCCTGCCCACTGTCCCACCCACCAGAGACCTCCTGGATCTCCCCCAACCCTACCCGGCCCCCACAGGTGTCCCTGCTCACCTTGGCCACACCCACCCATTTTGCCATGACTTCCACAGCCACGCCCACCCAGTGGGCCACGGCCACCTGGCACCCGGTGATAAATAAGTGGGTTTTGGATTGCAGTTTGGGCATTCGGTCTCTAAAAGGTTTGCCATCACTGGTTTAGGGGCAGCATGCAGCCCCCCAACATCCCTTTTGTAGATCCCAAACCTGCTCAGAAAGGTTGACAGCTATGTGTGGCTTTTACTGATGTTAGAACGAGACGTCTGGGAACATAAGAAGAAGCTTGCTAGTTCGGATCAGGTGTCAGAGAAAGAGGGTGAAGAGGGCACCTCCCTAACAGTTCCCAGAATCTATTTTTTTACGGGGCAAATAATCTGCTTCAGCTTGGCAAGATTTCTGTCTATAGGTGAGGAGCAGTAAGGAAATCTGCTTAGAAGAATCGTAACCACAACTGTATGTGTAAGATCTGGAAACTCTGAAAACAGTGTAGAGAAGAGCAACAGAGATGATCAGGGGACTGGATGCTAAAACATATGAAGAACGGTTGCAGGAATTGGGTAGGTCTAGTTTAATGAAGAGAAGGATGAGGGGGGACATGATAGCAGTGTTCCAATATTTGAGGGGCTGCCACAAAGAGGAGGGGTCAAGCTATTCTCCAAAGCACCTGAAGGCAGGACAAGAAGCGATAAAGGATAAAATATATGAATAACAGTTGCAGGAATTAGGTATGTCCAGTTTAATGAAGAGAAGAACTAGGGGTGACATGATAGCAGTCTTCCAGTATCTGAGGGGCTGCCCCAAAAAAGAGGGGGGGTCAACCTCTTCTCCAAAGCCCCTGAAGGCAGGACAAGAAGCAACGGATGGAAACTAATCCAGGAGAGAACCAAGGAGAAATTTCCTGAGAGCGAGAACAATTAACCAGTGGAACAGCTTGCCACCAGAAGTTGTGGGTGCTCCATCACTGGAGGCTTTTAAGAAGAGACTGGACAGCCACTTGTCTCAAATGGGACATGGTCTTCTACTTGAGCAGGGGGCTGGGCTAGAAGACCTCCAGAGCCCCTTCCAACTCGGTGATCCTGTTATTCTGTTCTGTTACAACATGCAACAGACCTTTTGGACACCACTGTTAAGCAAAGCGCAGCAGTGGTGAAGTTAGTCACACAGTTGTTAAATGAATCTAACTTCCCTGTTGACTTGGCTGGTCAGAAGGTTGCAAAAGGTGTTCAAGACACACACACACACACACACCCCGGGACGCGGCAAACTGTCACAAAGATAGGCCCGTTGCCAAATGTCTGAATTTTGATCACCTGACTGTAGGGATGCTGCAACAGTGGTAAGTGTGGAAAACGGTCGTAGGTCACTTTTTTCAGGTCTGTTGTAACTTTGAAAAGTCACTCAATGAACTGTTGTAAGCCAAGGGCTACCTGTACAATTGGGGTAAATGAACTGGGCTATCTTATCCCAACTGGGGCAGAAGGAATTCTCCCACCCGAAGCGTTGTGGGAATGGTCTATCCAGCCTCTGGCTTTCTCTTCCCAGGTTCCTCGAGTAACACCACCGATATCTGTCTTCCACACCGGAAAGGACCCGTGACTGACGTCTGCGCTGGCCGCCAGAGGGAGAGCGACGTGGTGCTGATGTTGCTCCTCTTTGGGCAGACCTTGCTGGGCATCGGCGGGGTGCCCATCCAGCCCTTTGGCATCTCCTACATAGATGACTACGCCAGCGCCACCAACTCGCCTCTCTACATAGGTACGTTCCTAGGAACAACAACGAACGAAAACCACGAGAACAGAGGTCACCAAGCTTTCTCGGTTGGCGGGCCGGAGGGAAAGGGAAGAGGGAAGCACTTTATGTGCGCGCGCATGCACATGTGCACACGGGACCACAAGCATACACGTGACGCAAACAGGGCAGGGCTATTGCTTGCGTGATACTCGTTAGCCCTGCCCTGTTCTTGTGCACAGCACTCTGTTTCTGTGCCCTGAGGTGCAGCATCACCCTGTTTTTGCGCATCGAGGCGTGGTGGCATCACATTTTCACGTACCGAGGGTGGCATCCCATTTTTGCACCCTGCAGTGTGGCGGTGTCCCATTTTTGCACCCCAAGGTGTGTCAGCCACCCGTTTTTGCACCACATGGCGCAGCATCCTGTTTTCATGCCCTGTGGCCATGGCAGTAGCACAAATGGGTGGGGGTGTGTGCGCTACCGGGCCGCGGTCCATAGGTTGGGGACCCCTGCACTAGAAAGTCCTGTGTCAGTCCTGCCCCAGTCTGATCCCTTAGGCAAGTGAAACTATTGACTCCGAAGACCAGTTTTGGTCACCACGATGTAAAAAAGATGTTGAGACTCTAGAAAGAGGGCAGAGAAGAGCAACAAAGATGATTAGAGGTCTGGAGGCTAAAACATACGAGGAACGGTTGCTGGAATTGGATATGTCTAATTTAATGAAGAGAAGGACAGGGGGGACAGGATAGCAGTGTTCCATTATCTCAGGGGCTGCCCCAAAGAAGAGGGAGTCAAGCTATTCTCCAAAGTGCCTGAAGGCAGGACAAGAAGCAACGGATGGAAACCAATCAAGGAAAGAAGCAACCTAGAACTTAGGAGAAACTTCCTGACAGTTAGAACAATTAACCAGTGGAGCAACCTGCCTCCAGAAGCGGTGAATGCTCCAACACTGGAAGTTTTTAAGAAGAGACTGGACAGCCATTTGTCTGAAATGGTCTAGGGTTTCCTGCCTGAGCAGGGGGTTGGACTAGCTCCAAGGTCCCTTACAACAACAACAACAACAACACCATCATCATCATCATCAACAACATCATCATCATCATCATCATCATCATCATCATCATCATCATCATCATCATCATCATCATCATTATTATTATTATTATTATTATTATTACTCTTTTTCTCTACTGCCCAGGCTTTATTTTTGCTGCCACCGCCCTCGGCCCTGCCATCGCCTTCATCTTGGGATCGTTTATGCTCCGTTTCTATGTTGATATTGACAAAGTTTCATCAGGTGAGTGGACCAGCCTTCTACATGGGCAGATTCCTGAGAAAATGAATCCTGTACAGTATATCCCTAATTGATGATGATCATCAGTGCTGGAAGAGAGTTTGTTCTTTGTTTACATACACGTAGCTTGCCCTGTCACTGTTGATGGAAGTGTTCTTGCTGGCTCCTTGTTTAGGCTCTTGTTTACTGTTTAATGTTAGCTTGTATCTCCAAGAAGATAGTTCCTTGACTGGGCATTGCTTACTGCTTGATTGTTGATTTAATCTTGTTAATCTTGGTGTTAATCTCTGTGTCAACGCTGCTAACATCGGATGTTTTTGGTTTGACAACAGTAGAAATGCAACAATATTTTACTTTTAGAGTTAGATGATGCCAGGGGGAGGAAGGTGCATGAGAGTTTAGCTAGACATAACAATGCTGAACCTAGTGTGAGAACCAAGGTTGTTGAAATAAGAGATGATAAGAAATCGCCTGTTCACCGCCCTGAGTCCCGTAAGGGAGATAGGGCGGTATATAAATTTAATAAATAAATATATAAATTTAATAAATAAATAAATAAATGGTGGGCTGGAGAACTGGAGGGGAAGCCTGCATTTCAAGCTAATTGGGGAATGTGATTTATGACTGTTAACTGGAGGAGGGAATTGTGCTTTGATACTACGTGCTCAGGGGAGGGGAATCTAGTTTTTGGCTTCGATTCTGTTAGTGCCAATATTATGCTTCTCAAAATAAAGAATCTTTAATGTAACCAGAGCCTCGAAGTTCTTTTAAGAGTTTCATCTGTTGGAACCATGACACTCTGCTTATCTGGGCGTTGGTTGCTGTTGTGATCTTTTTGTTTCCTTTTTGGCCCAGTCAAGGAATTACCCACTCAGACAAACAGTACACAACAGCCATCAAACCACTTGTTTATAAGCAGCTCCTTCTCCCTTCTAGCATTGATGATGTTACCTAGTTGGGTAATGAAACATCTTCCAGAAAAACATTGCAGAAAGAACTTGCAGAAAAGAACGGAAGGCGAGATCTCACACACTGGGAGAGAATCACACTGTGGATAGTTGAGTGTAGACATCAACAACCTGTTTGTACTTTCCTAACGGGGTGTCACAGGGGGGCAGAAAATTCAAGATGGTGGCTACAATCAGGCAGTCAAATCTGCAATGCACATAAGAAGAAGACGGTCATTTTGGTTATGGCTGCCATTTTGACTCTTTTGACCCCCTTCCTTGTGGATATCCCAATTCCTAGCAAGTGGCAGACCAGCTTTTCCCAACATGGCATCCTTCAGGTGGCCATATTGACTCTTTTGACCCCCTCCCACAGACACCCCTGATTCCTAGCAAGAGTTAAGTCTGCTCTTCCCTATGTGACATCCTCCAGATGGCCATGCAGAGGGGGGGGGTGGATAATTGGAATTGTAGTCCAACTCATCTGGATGACCTTCTGTTGAACAAGATTGGGGAACTCATGAGTTCCACCACGGTTATCGGAACATCTGGGAAACCGAGTCAGTTTAACCCGTGATTTCATCCGGCTTAGTTCCTCTCTCTTTTGTTTCAGCGGAAGTCCACATCACCAACAAGGATCCGCGATGGGTTGGGGCCTGGTGGCTGGGCTTCATCTTTGCCGCCAGCATGGTGGCCATCGCCTCGATCCCTTATTTTTTCTTCCCGAGAGAAATGCCCAAAGAGGTAAGGACCCACCGGAGAACATCAAAGCATCGTTGCCACAAAGCCAGTTGGGGGGGTAGTTTAATTGCAGGCTCATTAAACGCTGAGGCTCCTTGTCAGTTGGAAAATGAAATATTTACCCATGACAAGAGATCCTGTAAGGCGGCCGTCAAGGTCCCACTCGCTGAGATCCTTGGTCTTCCATCAAATTCAACGGGTGAGAAAAGTAAGGTTCTACACTTAGGCAAGAAAAACCAAATGCACAGGTAGAGCATAGGTCCCCCCAATCCTTCTCTTCTATAGGGCAGGAGAAGAAACAACAGATGGAAACTAATCAAGGAGAGAAGCAACCTGGAACTAAGGAGAAACTTCCTGACAGTGAGAACAATTAACCCGTGGAAGAGCTTGCTTCCAGAAATCGTGGGTGCTCCCTCACTGGAGATTTTTAAGAAGAGGCTAGATAGTCACTTCTCTGAGATGGTATAAGTTCTCCTGCTGGAGCGGGGGGGCTGGACTAGAAGACCTCCAAGGTCCCTTCCAGCTCTATTCTATTCTATTCTATTCTATTCTATTCTATTCTATTCTATTCTATTCTATTCTATATTTCTATTCTATTCTGTTCTGTATTTCTATTCTATTCTATTCTATTCTATTCTATTCTATTCTATTCTATTCTATTCTATTCTGTTCTATTATGTTCTATTATGTTCTGTATTTCTATTCTATTCTATTCTATTATGTTCTGTATTTCTATTCTTTCTTTTTTTCTATTCTATTCTATTCTATTCTATTCTATTTTGTATTTTTATTCTATTCTGTATTTCTATTCTATTCCATTCTGTATTTCTATTCTATTCTATTCTATTCTATTCTATTCTATTCTATTCTATTCTATTCTATTCTATTTTGTATTTTTATTCTATTCTGTATTTCTATTCTATTCCATTCTGTATTTCTATTCTATTCTATTCTATTCTATTCTATTCTATTCTATTCTATTCTATTCTATTCTATTCTATTCTATTCTATTATCTCTGCTTGGACCTCCGTGGAAATGCTCTCTCCAGTTCAAATCCTTCCTCCCTTGGAGTTTCTCAATATATCATTCCTTCTGTACTCACCGCCACTGTCTGAATGCAGAATTGGGGATTTTGTCATGAACTTAACACAATGGCCTTGCAATCTAGCCTTTCACTAACATTTTACCCTTTATCGTCGATCAAAGAAGTGGATCTATATCTCCAAAAGCCACCGGAACGTATCCATCCCCTCCAAGAGATTTAGTTTAATCTTTTCATCTTCTCTTTTGCATTGAAGACTAAGGAATTTAGGGGCCTCTTGCCTTTAAACAGCAGATACGGTATCTTTATGTTTCATATCGCAAGGATCTGCCTCTCGCTAAATCCTCTTTTTCAAACTGAGTTATCGTGTTCTCTCCGCTTGAATGTCTGTGATTTAATCTTCCGTGCCGCAAAGTCGGTACATTTCTTGGGTTGGGTTGTTTTGCGGTCTTAAGTACAAGCAGTTCTTGAATCTGCTCAAAACACTGGACGTTTTTAAGAAGAGACTAGACAGCTACTAGTCTGGAATGGTATAGGGTCTCCTGCTTGAGCAGGGGGCTGGACTAGAAGACCTCCAAGGTCCCTTCCAACTCTGTTATTCTGTTTAAAGAAAAGAAGGACCAGGAGTGGCATGAGAGCAGTCTTCCAGTATCTCAGGGGGTGCCACAAAGAAGAGGGAGTCAAGCTCTTCTCCAAAGCCCCTGAAGGCAGGACAAGAAGCAACAGATGGAAACTCATCAAGGAGAGAAGCAACCTAGAACTAAGGAGAAACTTCCTGACAGTTAGAACAATTAACCAGTGGAACCACCTGCCAAGCTCAGAGAGCACCAAGGAACCCATAGTCTTCCTCCTCCTCCTCCTCCTCCTCCTCCTCCTCCTCCTCTTCCTCTCTGAAATCTCCCCACCTTTCCTGCATTGATGACATTACCTAGTAGGGTAATGAAACTTCTGCAAGAAAACCGCCAAGCTCAGAGAGCACCAAGGACCCCACAGTCCTCCTCCTCCT